CGACTAATATCATGCATAATTACTGTGGTTTTTTTTTGTGGGGTATTGCTGGGGTTATATCGTGTAAATATAAATATCGTATCGTTAAACCCGCCACCCACCACACACAGCCAATTTACTAAAATGTATCACGTAAACAGAACGCGCCAATTCCTTTCTAGCACAGCAACACCGGTGTGTTGGGAGAACAAACCGGCAACGTTTGCAATCCCGAGTACGACGTTTCGCCAGTGAATTAACAAACAGGCTTCATCGGCCGCTTAGGTTGTCGCAACTGTTTTTAACAAACGCCGCACGCTCCGCAAGCTCCTCCTGCACCTCTCAGCCACCTCTCGGACACCCGGTACGTTGGTGGGGTAACGCCGCTCACTCACGGGGGAAGAAGTTTCTCACACGAGCGGGCGAGCGACGATCCAGTGCCACGCTATTTAAAACAGGTCCCCGCAGAATGAGAATAAAATAATAAATTGATAAAATAAAATAACACAATAATATTCTCACGACGTTTCGGCCACAACGCAAGCGGCCTTCGTCAGGTGAAGGGACGAGACGCTTGTGTTGTGGCCGAAACGTCGTGAGAATATTATTGTGTTATTTTATTTTATCAATTTATTATTTTATTCTCATTCTACGTGACTTTACCGAAAGAACCAAAGAAGATGAATCCTTGCAGTCATGAAAGCTTTACATCGAAATTTAGGTCCCTGCAGGGTGGGCTGGTAGAAGTTCGCAAATGAGATAATGTGACTTCCAAATGTTGGGTGCAATAAGACGTATCAAGTCTCTGCGCTGTCCATTGCTGATTTTACACCCAACAGCACGAGATTTCACTTCGTTAAAGTATTGAAAGGGGACGGACGGACGGACACATGAATCTATTGCAGGCTGGTACACTCAGTTTACAACTTCGTACCTACCAGTATAAATCCTTCAGTTCTCAAGTCCATCGCACAACTTTACTGCGACCCCCCCCAACGCGGGCACCTACGACCTAATTGTTTTCCATGGACGACGGTCGCAAAGCGGAACCGTCGTAAGTCGAAGCCCTCATTTCCCATCGGGCGCAATGTTATGCGTTGGGGTTCCGTTCCCAGAAACCCAGAAACCCATTGCGCACCATTAGCATACCGAAATCGACCACGAAAAATCAATGAAAATAACCCGAACAAACATTTATCCAAACTTAACATTGCTTTTTGCGAAGATTTATTAAGTAAAAACAAGCACTTGCATTTGGAAACCCTTCAGTACTTTTATGCAAGCACATCACATTTCATCTTCTCAGAGATAGCGAAAGGCGAAACCATTAAAAATTTAGATTTTTGGGGGGGGGGGGGTTTACAAAAAAAAGTGAAGAGCGTTGGGAAAGAGACGCTGCTGCATATAAGAATACATTTGACCCTTATCTGGCAATATAACAGGTATTCAGATGTTAAAACACCAAACAGGAACCTGTTCACCTCTTGACGTTCTCTGGTCTCACACTGGTTGAGACAAGGCTCTAAAGAAAGTTGTCTCTAGTGTGGACCAATCAGTTTCAAAGACAATGCATATATTATTAGAGCATTTTTTTTTAATGCATGTTCACCACAAGCACGTGTGATTAATGCAGACAGGGTTACTTGCGAAAGGTTTCTGTTTTGTGTTTGAACATCTTAACCCCTATTCTTGGTTCTTTCGGTAAAGTCACGTAGAAGGGAAATAATAAAATAATACGAGTAAAACAATAAAAACCACAGCTGTGGTTTTCACACCTGATGATGACTGCTTGTGTTGCAATCGAAACGTGATAATTTTATTGTTTTATTTGTATTACTATATTATTACCCTTCTTCGTGACTTTACCGAAAGAACCAAGAATATGAATCGCTGCAGTCACGAAAGCTTTACATCGAAATATTAACACCTGTTTTATTGCTAGAAAAGGTAAACCCTATCCTTATATTTTTTATACTGGCAAGAAAGGTCCCCATCCATAGACGCTGCTGCGTTCGCTCTAGGAGCAGCTCACGTAACACTGTCGGGCTCTCCAATACATACGCACAGAGCAGAATAACAAAGGCAGCGCCATCTGGCGAGGAATTTGTGCATGGCATTCGCAGCCTGGTCATTAGGCGGTCGTAGATGCGAGTTTTGGTCGTTACTGTGGTGGGGTCTTACTATAAGAAAGGTCGTAAAAGCCGCGGTGGGGCGTGGGGGGGTCGCAATTCGAGCCGTCGTAAGTCGGGGGTCATCTGTATTAATCTCGCTCCTCATAACACAAGGTTAAAGAAGGGACCATTGCCCGAAACGTTACAAATGTTTTTTTCCTTATAAGGCAGTGTTATCGACGAATATGTTGAGGGTTTTTTTGTGTGTGCGTGTTAATCTTATCGACAATTTAATTACATTTTAGACAGCATATATTTCACCAGTACACCAGAAGCTTAAAATTCAATTTACACCCCTCATCACAGATCATCGTTGTCCCAAAGAGGTAATTCTTTCTGAACTTTACACCAGAGCATCCGTCTATTTATAGTAACTGTGAACATTCTCTCACCTCTTGCAAAGACTGTAACTTGACCTTGGAAGATGTCACTATTTGCTCTACATGGTCTAAGGAAATGCTATGCACATTGCAGACTTATACTGGTTTATGCCTCATTTCGTTTGTTTCATCACTTATTCAGCCAAACACCTATTACACTTTCAGTGTATTTAACTTAACATGGTTACACATGATTTTAGCATACATTAACACATTAACGTGCGCTTAAAAAGCATGGTTCTATTGGCACAAATGTGTAATGTTCAATTATGTTGTAAGTGCTGAATTGCAAGAGCACATTGTTTATTTATAACGCTTGTTCACCCAGGAAAGACTCACCGAGTCTCATGATTCTTTTTAGGAGGGTCCTGTCAAGTTTTCTCAGGAGGGGGCAATGAATGTTATGGACAAGGTACTGGTTTTTTTTAATTGAGTAAATTACAAATACACTTTTAATTTCCTGCACCTGCTTGTTGGGGTCACTCCTTATTCCAGAACGTCAATTTATGTGAAATATTTATCCTGGTAAGTATGGCTGTTCATATTATATAATATTAATGCCCTTTATTAACGCATGACAGCCTCAATCATTTCAAGATTCTTTAAGGAGGGTCCTGCTTTGGTATTTGAGCTAAATTCACGAATGAACGTTTGACTTGTGGGAGGAAATTGGAGTACCAGGAGAAAACTGGGGCTGAACGATTTGGGGAAAACATCTAATTGCGATTTTTCTGACAGATATTGCGATTGCGATTTGATTTGCGAAAAAAAAATTCAATGAAGCTTCAGTTCAATATTCACTGTGTAATAGATTTAAAACACGTGATGGAGCATTACCACATAATACCATCAAAATATGAACTGCTCGAGATATTCTAATGCAAGGATGAGAACTTAAAATAAATTATTTGCTTCCAACATGTATTTATTAAAATGTTTTAATTAAAATAGAACAATCAAACATAGAACAATTGTTAAGTTAAATCAATAAAGTAATAATAATAAAAATAAAACAATTCCAATAAGAGAGTAATGGGACTTTTCAAATCTCAAAAAATTCGCAGCCTTTGCGATTTGCTAATTGCATTGTTTCAAGTTGCGATTTCGATTTGAAATCGATTAATCGTTCAGCCGTTGAGAAAACCCTCGCATATGAGAGTGCAGTACTTAAACACCTGAACAATTTCAATGCCCCATTGATCGACTGCAATATCATGATCCCCTCACAGCCTAGCACCTGGTATTCCCAGGGGGACTTGGAATGATTGGAGATTGTATTTCGAGTTTATGGATGTAGGTGTAAACCAGACCTCTTAGAAAAAAAATTATCCCGAGAGGTTCACACTCCAACTAGGCAAAAATAGGTAAAACCCCTACTTGCTGTACTGCCCGTATATGCAGGTTGTCCTGCATGTAGGTGTTACGTAAGTATGTATTTTGAACTTCTTTCGCACCATACGTAGCCAACCGTGCTAATCGGAGGTTTGGGGGACGGACAACAAACTAATCATGATAAACACATCTTTGCTGTCAATTCATCAATAGGTTTGCATCCCCACAAAAAAATAAAAAAATAATTATTACTTCTGGGTAAATCACATCTTGATATAAAGGTGAAGTTTAATTTCATACAGAAATTGCATGCATATTCCGTGCAGCTAATGATTTATTAGTGAATTGATTCATCTTGAATGATTTCATGCTACAATGTTTATAAACTGATTACGCGTATCCTTGGCTCCTGAAGAGAAAAATAACGGTGTCATTAATGTAACACGAAAATTGTCGTCTATGCAAACACTATATTCTAAAAAATACTGCTACTGATTTGTGTGCTGAGACTAAATAATATCAAGAGATAGAGAAAAGAAGTCAGGCATGACTGGCAAGCATCCATACAAATAATTAAGTTTGTCATTAACACTGTTTGGTGTGTTTGTGACTGACGTTTCAGGCAATGGTCCTTCTTCAGAGCAGAGATTACAGAATGTTGGTACATTTGTTGTGGTATGGATTGGCCCATACAATACGTAGCAAGATGTTAACTACCTCACCTACTTTACAGGAGGTTGTGGGTTTGATCCCGACCCTGACCGCCTGTTGTATATTTGAAGTTTGCAAGTTCTCCCCGTGGTCGTGTGGATTTTTCTCGGGGTCCTCCGGTTTTTCCCTCCACATTTAGAGACATGCTCTAAATTCACACGTAATAAGCCACTTCGTTGAGCTATCATTTGTGGCCAGGTCGCTTCTGAAAAAAATAAAAAGAGTCATACAGCTCAGTGAGCCTTACCTGGCAAAATAAAACAAAAATCGTTGATAGTTTCACTATACAGTGTTTCATTACAACACAACAACAAACGCCACCACGCCAAAACGGACGAGACGGTTTTATCGCGGTAATAAAATAGAACAATATCGCCATATCGCCGACAGCAAGGAGATATAGAGAGAGGGAGAGAGAGAGAATGTTGGGTGTGGGTTTTGTTGCGTCGAGGGCCCTCTAGCGGGGCCAGGCGGCAACGGCTCCGGCCCCTCACGGCGAGGCCTCGGACCCTGCAACTCTCAGGCTGCCGCAGCCGACCAAGGCCCTCGTTCAAGTGGGTTTTTTGCGACCGCGTAAACCTCCAATTCCACCGAAATCCATATCGCCAGAAAGCTGGATATCTTAACTTTCTCACGGATTCGACGGACTCGGCCGAAAGTCCGCGCGTTCCGTCGTAATCGCGACTTTATTTGGAGCCCGAATCTTGCCGTGGGGACTCTCTCGCGTTCAAACAATGGCCGCGATGTGGCCGCGTTCTAAACGTGCGGGGGTTTTTTTTGTGTATGCTCCGGTGTTTTGTGACATTTTGTCCAACTTTGCAGCGATTTCGTGGCGTTTCGTGCGTATTTTGAGGGTTTGCAATCACCGCGATTGTTTCGCATCGCGATATTTGGCAGCATTCGAGTCCAAATTCCGTGTTGTTTTTACCCCCCCCACCACCGTAAAAATGGGACGATTTTAAGACGTGCATGTGGGGCGTACGTGAGACGCCAGGTCTGATTCATGGACACCACAGTTTAATTGCCTTTAATGTTTTCTATCGTTTTTTTGTAGCTTAGTAATACGGGATTTTGTCGGGTTTTTTTAAGTTTCAAAGCCTTATTTCACTTACGTACTAAGGTATCGCGCGAGTGCAAACGAGCCACACGTGAGATTTCATTTTAAACAACAATCCTAACAGAGAAAGCTATAATTTGAACTGCTCATTCATAAAAAAATATATCAAGTTACAAACTATTGTGGATATAGACAGATTTGAGTAATAGCGAGCGATACCGTGTTATGCGTGTATATATCGTATGTCCGCTGCAAAACATTTCTAAAACTTAATTCTCGGAAATGCTTTTATTTACGGAAACATAAGAAACTTAAAGTTTCTGATCTATTCGTATCTTCATGATGGAAAATTAGTTTATATAAAATCGATTTAGATTAATGTGTGTGCGCACGTCCTGCTGATGAGTGTAAGTTAAGTGAAAACTATCAAGTCTCCTATAGCATCAAAACCCCAATTGCATTGGCTTCAGATGTCATCCCCTTTATCAATGAATTACCCCGATCATTTAATAATTATAGTTATACCAATTATACCAATTATTTGCCTCGGTGGGTGTCAAGACTCGTTTTCAGGAGGGTCCTGCATTGAGAAGTTTGGCCAGTTTAATGAGGGGGCATGTGGGGTGATTATGTACCCGGAGAAACCTCACCATACGAGAGAGTCGGACTCAGTACTGCCATCTCATGGCTATAAACTTTCAACCCCATTGCTATCCGTACTCGGGCTGCTCAGCTTCTGAGATGTGACAAGATTGGTGCATTCAGGGTGATGTGTCGTCTAGTTCTCTGAAGGGCATTTATAAGGCCACACACCCTGCTGACGCGTGCCAATGATGTAAATAAAAAATGTTACTGTAACATCAAGGACACACAAGTAACAGTTTCAGAGCACATATCCTGCTGGTGTGTACGAGAGAAGTAAAAAAAACCCTTAAATATTTCCTGAGACAGACACGAGGACACTTGGTGGCATTTTGTGGAGGATACACTTCCCAAATCTCTCAATTTTGCAGAACCTTGTATATCTCTAGTCTGCACAACAATCCACAATCCGCCATTTCCTTACCCCACCTGCTGTCTGTGCCTTGTTAGGGCTGTGCCTTTCATCCCAAAATATAAACAACATCCTATTATCTGTCTTCTAGGATGTTTTTTTTTAATACTAAGGCTACCATTGTCTCCAGTCTTTATCACTGGCCATCGTCCCTTTGAGTGACATGTCTTGTGCCCAAACACTCTTGCCTTTCTTAACAAGTCAATATATCTCTGATTTGTGTTTGTTCCCTGATCTAGCTTACCAACAGGCACATTGGTAAGTTGCTTTAAATGATGAATGCAGTTTTACAAAATCGCTTACTCATGCTCTTGTTTTCCCATTTACCTATCTTTTTAAAAATGTAAATTCACCTTCAACAATTGCCTCAGGTTTTCAAGCTGTCTTCCTCCAACATGGATCTTATTTAGCCAACTTGTACATGAGTTTTTCCAATCGCAAGTGTTTGAAGCTATCATAAACAACAAAAGCATAACACCAGCTAAAAAAGGATTTTGATGGATAGTCGAACACAAATGGTTGGTGGTCCTTAATAAAGCAACATGGGACAATAATGAATGAGAGACAGAAATCATAACCGTATATATTTTTTTACGAAGCCTCCAGTGGTTAATGAGCCATCTTTCCATGTTTTGTTGCAGAATGTCCAGCGACAGTGATGAGCATTTGCCAGGGGTGATGATGCCTCAGCCAATCACGGGCCGTGATCCTACAGCGGGTGGGGCCAGAGTTGCTGAGCAGCCAATGAAGCCGCGTGAGGGGGTGCAAGATGTTTCGACGGAGGGCAAAGGTCATTCGGAAAGCGTCCCATTGAAAAATGTGAAAGGTGAGGTGTATTGTAAGTTAAAAATGTAAAGATTGCACACTTCAAATTGTCTAAATATATTTATTGTGTAAAATTTTGTTCAATCACTTCTTCATTGTCACATTACGGTGATGCTGATGCTTTGTTCGTGCCGTTGATATTACTTTCGATGCTGTCAATAATTACAATCCGCTTTAACACGTAGACTTTCGCGATAAATATTATTTGTAAGAAAGGTTTTTGGGTTAGAGCGCCTAGCTTTATTATGAATTACAAGCCAGATGATTAAAATTATGCTGTTACTGCCATTACTACTCATGTTGCCGTCAACCACAATGTTGCTGCACTGATGACACTTGCTGCTGCTCTTGCGTTTGCTGCTTATGGTGTTACAGATTGTGCAGCTGCCATTCATTAAATCATTATTGTGTTCCCTTGCAGGTCACTCCTCTCATCGCCTGCAAAGTCCACCACCTCCTACAACTACCTCTACATCATTATCCTCAACCTCTGCTCGCCAAGCCAAGCCCTCTCGCCCCAGAGGACGACCCAGAATTCACCACCCCCCAGCTTTAACTGAAGGCCCAGGTAAAGAAACATTGCACTGCACTTGAATCTGGAACTATCGTTTCTATACAGGCCCATTTGCAGTCTACAGCATGCTGACAAAGTCTAGGCCTCGGACATTTATTAACCTCGACCTAAGGCTCGAACCTAGACCCTCAGTGGTGCTAGCCAATTTTATGTTTACACGGGCATTATGAATCAAGAGAGAGGGATACCGGGACCCAGCTGCGCTGGGAAAGTGCCAAAGCCATTTATGAACCCCGGCTTAAATTAATGATTTTACCGGTGCAGATTCTCCGTCATAGCCATTATGATCCTTTTAAGAGTGAACGAAACTCAGAATGTTGGTAATGGTTACATATTGTCTCGAACATGGCCATTATTTATAGGGAGAGATGCCTACACCCAGGGCTCACATCCAGAAGCTCAGCAGTACTAGCTCTATGAATTGCAAATGAGAGAGATCCACTGACAGGATTCGAACCTCGATATGTAGTGGTATCTTTTGACAGCCTTTATGAACCGCCAGAGAAAAAGAAACTCAAACGCAATGGCTCATTTGTTTGTGTGATGTTTGTATATGGGGTGTGTGCAGTGTTTTCACGGTGGGGTTTGTGTGTGGTGTGTGATATGTGGAGGGGTGTGGGGTTTGTGTGTGGTGTTGCAGTGCACGCACGGTGGGGTATTTGCGATGATTGTGTGGGGTGTGTGATGTGTGTGTTGGGTGTTTGTGCGTTTGATGTATGTTGAACTTCTTTCCCACCGTATGTAGCCAACAGTGCTAATCGGAGGTATGGGGGAAGGACAATAAACTGATGTGTCTGGTGTGCAGTGGTTGCAGGCGGTAGCTGGAATGGGAGGGGAGGACTCTCCCCTGCTCAGTGTGTGGCTGCCGGGTTCAATGTTGAATCTGGAGGAGGAGCGGGAGGCAGAGGAAGCGGAAAAACTTACATCTGTATCGACTGTGGATACAGAACACCAAGAAGGGGACGCATGTTTAAGGTGCTGGTTTTGGTGATGATGGAACACCTGCACCAGTGTAAAACATTTAGGCTGGCCTTTGATTCATACTGGCCTTAACCAGGTGGTAGTGTTTGAGGAGCTCATAGGTGCTTGAAAGGTCTCGATGCACAGTCCCATCGGTGAGCTCCGGCAGGCTAGAATATGTTGGCTGGGTCCTGATGCCCATTAATTGCATGCCCTCGTGGTTTCTGTTTGGCTGGAAATATTTGGTAAATGGGCACGGCACGGCATAGAGAGAGATGTATTGATGTAGTACAGGACGACTTACCAACAAGTGGTTTCAGTGGTGTTGAGATTCCTTCTTTGTGAAAAGGGTTCATTATAGATGTTATTTTTCAGTTGGAGGCAGCCTGACACAACATAAAGTCCACGTGTCTGAGGCAGCACTCACATTTTATTGGCAGCCCCGATGCAGGAGTACAATTTTCACATACCTGCTGCAAAAACAAATATACTTACACTGTCAGCTGCTGCTCCTACAAGATGGTTAATTCATCACACTTAAAGAAATTAATATAAATGACGGGTGGCTCGGGGCTAATGAGCCAGCACTGCTAAGACTGAATTTGCATCTGGGTTTCGGTAGCCTGTTTATTAACCAGACTTTAAGTGTGGCAAGTCTCAGCTTGGTCACAATTCTACATAAAAACCAGTATATTAAATAGGTTTTACATTAAATAGTGGGTTTGATTTCTGTTTGACAAAAACTATTTGCAGGGCATATAAAAGGTGATTCCTTCGTGTAGTTAAGAGGCTATTGAAGTGACTTCAGTAAGAGTTCTGTGATGTTATTTTCCAGGATTGTTACCTGATAGAATGTGTGATGAGAAAATGCTCATTGTGAGAGGTTCTAACGGCAATATCTCCATCCCATGATCATTATTTTGAATTTGCTCATTTCCCCAAAACAGCATCACTGCATCTAAGGACTCTGTTCAGGAGGGTACTGCCAAGTATTTGCAGTAGGGGGTGATGATTCAAATTGTCTATTCTAATTGAGAAAATTGTGATAATATAATTGAGAAAAAAATGTAGTTTGACAAATTTTTACCATAACGCTGGCACATGATGGCTTGCTGTGCTGAATGACATCAAGATCTTTAACTGACAACTGTGAAACAGACGGCTTGTATTATTTCGTTAATAAAAGGTGGCCACTGGATTTGAGCTGTGAACGTCTGAAACAAGTGGCAAATGCACTACCGCTAGTCCATGACACTGCTCAATAGTAGCATCATTGTAATATTATTTTGAGATGAAATAAATTAAAAGTGTTTTATATTTCCTTACAGCACAGGGAAAAGCATCATCAGGGAGGAGTGAGTGGCTTGCCGGTGGGAGATGTTTTGTCAACGTCACAAGGACAGAAGGAGCCACGCGCATGCCCAACCAGGTTTGTGAGCACATATTAAGGCTGGGAAATATTTGTGTGTCTTTGTGTAAAGGTGTGACTGAGTGGTTTGTTTGCAGCATCTTTACCATCACCAGTACCTTCATCATCACCATCATTACCATTTTTACTACTACCACCATCGCCACCAATATCACCATTATCACCGTTGTCACCAGTACCAACACTATCTACTATGCTAGCCCACTAACAGGTTTTTAAAAAAATCTAATAATTTTTTCATTTTCCTTTTCAGCACAAAATCCGCCCGCAAGCGAGAGCGGTCAAAGAGCACCTCACCTCACCTCCTCCGCCGGCCCCGAGTATCTATCTTGCCGGACGTCCCCTCGTCTACCTCTTCTTCCTCATCTTCATCGTCGACATCATCATTATCCTTATCCTTTTCTTCTCCAAAATCCCTGCCGCCACTGCCATCACCAGTACCTCCTCCGGTTTCTCCATCCTTGTCGAGTATGGCCCATCCTTCGAAACGAGGGCCGGCTTCGAGGTCCGGTGGACGCGGTCACAAGCGAGGGAGTGGTCTGGAGGGGGGCAGCGCTGCCAAGAAGATTCGTAAAAAAGGGGGCAGTCACGAGGGCAGCAGCACCACCAAAAGAATTCGTAAGAAAGGTGGCGATTCTGAAGGTGGTGGCACTAAGAAGAGTGGCTCTAAGAAGATTCGCTCTAAAGGGAAAGGCATCGAGGGGGGTAGCACGAAGAGGGTTCGTACGAAAGGGGACAGCGCTGAAGGGGGGCGCAAGAAAAAAATGCCCGTTGAAGGAGGGCACTCTGAAGATGGCAACCTTAAAGGAGACATCAGTAACTGGAACCCTACCGAAGAGAGTGGCACTAAATTTGGAACTGGGAAGAGCACCCTTGAAGTGGATGGTTCCAAAGGGGGCAGCAGCAACTGGAATCCCACTGAAGGGGGTGGCACTAAAGATGGTGGCCTTGATGGTGGTGGTATTGAAGTTGGCGGCGGCAATGGCAGCATCGTCCAGTTGTCCTCCGCTTTACAGGAGCCCTCAACGCCATCAGCCATTGTAGGAGAAAACCCGGCTGCCTCAGCCGCCCCTTCTGGCTGTGCAAAAGGGGGAGACCGCCACCGTGGCCGCAAGTCACAGGTCCTGTGTGGTGTGGCATACTTGAAGGGCGAGGGAGGGCGCTTTCAGTGCGTGTACTGTCCCTTTGTGAGCGACCACAGAAGAAGCACGTCACGTCACGTTCTCAAGTTCCACCTGGGCGGCGAGGGGAGTCGCAGTGGTGCAGGCAAGGCTAGAGGAAGGGCCTCGCGTAGAAACCGAGGTCTCAAGGCAGTGGCAATCGGAGACCCTGGGAAAACTCCGATCGCAGTCGTCCAGCCGGTGGAAACAGCAGCGATGACAAAATTGGAAGTAGGAGACATGGTCAGCTTGAGATCAGCGGTAAAGACGGATTTGTTGGTGTCTGAGACAGAAGGAGGCGTCACAGCTGGAAAAGTGAAGGAGGAAGAGGTGTTGGCAATGGTGGCGGCAGAGAAAGATGAGGTGAAACAGGTAGGAAACGCAGAGCAGTCCGTCCAACAAATTTCACTGCAGCTGCCACCAAATACGACACAGATGCTAGCAGCACCAACACTGTTAACAATGCCGCGCGACGGACTTAATGCCAAGAATCATAGGCCACTGGAATCGAGTGTGGGCACCAGCAAGAAGCCACTGAGATTCAGTAACCGGCGCAGCAACAGGACAAGCGGCGCAGCAGCAGAATCGGGGACTGAGCCGGAGGTGGGGATTGAAACAGGCGAGTCGGCGCAGTCGTCACGGCCCACTGCTCGGCTGCTGTCACTGGTGTTGAATGGCAATGCTGGCAGCGCCGAAGTGGTTGGGGCGGTGGCACGAGACGGGCGACAGCAGCAGGCACTGGATCTCTCCTCGTCAGTCGTCCTCCCGCACAAGCCCAATGCCCGCATCGACGCCATCGTGCAGGGCCTACAGACTCGACTTTCGGAAAATGGTGCCGGCTCCGCGTTGGCTGCACTGCAGGCGCTAGCAGCATCCGACGGGGGTCACGAAGTCACCGAGAGCGCTGCCGGAGAGGCGAGTGAGGCTAGCGATGTTGAAGGCGATGACCACAGAGTAGGAGGAGGAGCAGCTGATGAAAATGAAGGAAAAGAGCACCACGCCGCTGAAGATGATGACGTTGTTTCGGATGAGGAAAAACGAGGAGAGGGGGAGGACATATGCAATGGTTCAATCTTGCGTTACCGCTGCCTGGTGTGCCCCTTTTCGCATGCAGACGTCGCGGCCATGATGCCGCACTACATCAGCGAGCACCCAACGGTGCGCATCACCACCGCGCTGGTGGCGTCCACTTTCGATGTGACGCGGGGTCCACTACAGCAGAAGCACAACCACCACTACCGCACCAACAGCACCAACGAGATCAGGAGGAAATACGCTGGGCGTCCACGCCATGGCTTTGCTGGGAGCAGCAGTGGAAGCTCGTGGTATGGTTGCGACCAGTGTCCCTACGGTCACGGCAACATCCATTCAGTGCTTGTGCACTACCAGCGCCGGCACCCAGCTGTCAAGGCCACCTATGCCCGCATCCTGCGCCGGGGGCAACCGCCGGCGAAGGGGGCGATGCGCGGATCACTGCGGCGCCGTTTCGGTGGCGGTTCCAAACCTGACGCCAATGCAGAGGCAGGGTCGACAGGAGAGGCGGGGCTGGTTGAAGAGGCAGAACAAGCATCTGAGCCGACCTTCCGGTGCCGCCACTGCAACTATGCCAACCGCTCAGTGCAGGGTGTCCTCGTTCACTACCAGAAGCGCCACCCGATGGTCAAAGTGACGGCGCGCTACGTGCGAGAGGGACAGCGCTTTCCGGCGGACGGTGCCCCTCCGGCGGACGAGCCGCAGTCGCCGGCGAGGATGGGCCTTGCTGAGATGATGCGGTTGCTCGTGACACCACTACCGCCGACGCCTACGGTCGCCACAGCGCTGCCGGCCGTCCCCTGCGGCCAGCCCGCTGCGGCGCCGCTACCAGTGTCCTCTTCCCCTGATGCGGCAGCCGAAGCTCAACCGAGCGCAGCGATGGCGGTGACGATGATTACACCGGGCCCCTTCTACTGCCAGGAGTGCGGCTACGCTAACCGCTCGGTGCAGGGCGTGCTCGTACACTGCCAAAAGCGCCACCCGGGTGTGCGGGCTAGTGCCGACATAGTCCGGCGGCACACGGCGCTGGTAAGGGGAGGAGATGCCGTGGAAGACGGGGAAGTTGGGCCGCTGGTGCCGACATCATTGACCGTCCCGATACCCCCTTCGCACGGAACAACAATGACGACATCGGTGGAGGAAACTGCGGTCGATCTTTCCTCAACGCCATCGCGTGGTCATCACCGCCCACTGCGCCGCTGCTCCCACTGCGGCATCGCCTGCAGCACGGCGAGGCAGCTGGATGCACACGTAGCGCGGAGGCATGCGGGCGCCGGCCTGGACCTGCAGCAACTGCATCCGCTACAGCAGCAGTCGGTGGAGGTGTCCCCCGCCATTCTACTTCGACGTGAGCGAGATCGGGCACGACGCAGGGCTACTGCTGCTGCTGCCGCCGCTGCTGCCACCACTGCTGCTGTTACTACTGATTCTCCTGCAAATGTTGTTGCTGCTGATGGTGGAGGAGATGGTGCTGCGGCTGCCGTAGCTGGTAGCGCTAGTGATGCCACCCCTAGTTCTAGCTCGTATGCCACCTCCACCGCTGTCACCTCAACTGCCGCATCTGCACCAACTCAGCAGCAGCGCCAGCAGCATCGCCAGGGCCAGCTGATCTTCACGTGCGCCCTATGTCCTTACCTGAATGCCCGTGTGCACGGCGTGCTCACGCACTACCAGAAGCGCCACCCCACCGTGCGGGCCTGCAGCGAGGAGGTGTGGTCTCGTGCCGAACCCGCCTCCCCGCTGCTCCTCGCTTGCCTTCATCGTCGACGGCCGGCACGGGGTGGTGGTGCTGGCGGCGGCAGCGGCGGGCGCCGTCCATCCTGGGCTAAGAACCATAGATCTGCAGGAGCGGCCGGCGGGGAGGAAGAGGGCCCGCTGGCGGAGCTAGCCCTTGGCAGCGGTGGCGGCCACGGGTTGGGCGGCTATCGATGCTCTCTTTGTCCCGATCTGGCGCTGCCATCGATGGAGAGGTTACTGCTGCACGAGGTGCGCTGCCGGGAGTTGAGGGCCGCCACTGCTGAGGGAGGAAAGCTGTTGACGAAAGTGGCTGCAAATGATGGAGGCAGTGGCGGTGATTGCAATGAACCAAAAGATTCGTTGCAGTCGAAGGTGGTGGAGATGGAGGAGCGGCCGAAAGATGAGCTTGATTCTGGCCACGGGGCTGCCGAAGAGCCAGGTGATGGCGATGCGGTGCCGGCTGTCGCCAGGGCTGATGGAGATCAAATGGCCGACAATGAAGATCAAACAGCTCAGGGCAATGATCGAGAGGTGATTTTCTCTTGAGTTGGCCGGCATGTGCACGAGAGTGATTATGAATGTGGTGATGATTGTGGTGGTAGTGGTGATGGAGATGATGATGATGGAGGTGGTGGTGATGAGGGTTACAGTGATTGTAATGATTTTGTTAATGTTGGTGAAGTTATAGTTATGATAATGTGGGTTGTGGTAGTAGTTATAGTTGGGATAGTGATAGTGGTGTGGGTATGGATGGTAAGAGTGATGGTGGTGGTGTTGGGAATGCTGGTGGGGGAAGTGATGAAATTGGAGATAATAATGGTGGTGATAATGCTACTGATGTGGATGGTGAAGGGATGAACCAGGATTTGAACTCAGGCCCTCCTGATTGTGAGTTGAGCATTCTGACCACAGCAATAACTGAACTGACCAAGGTCAGTGGAAATGCCCTGTTCTTTTGGCAACTCAAGACATAATTATCAAATATTTATTTTCAGAGATTATTATAAAGTACTGTATACAAAACTATCCTGTGTACCTCATAAGCAATGGCTCGTCTATGACGCAGGCACTATGAACCTCCTTGCTAGAGATCTGGCTGGGTGTCGCTGTGGTCAGACTACTTTACTCACAATCACATGTTCCCGGTTTGTGGTTGTCTCACCCGATCATCATCCCTTTGTGGTCAATAAAATGAGCATAATTATTTTGTCCAAAGTCAGTAACAGTGGTTGTCCCTTGGAGGTACTAGCCTGTCCTAGCAATTTCCACCACCAGCACATGGCTGCCAACAGAGATGAGCTGCCGCCCATTGCTCATTTAAGCACGTGGACTCGACGTAAACCATTATTCATAAAACAAACTTAATTTGTCCATCTGTCAGTCATAACACTTGAGTCATTTGCATCATACACAGTCGAGGTCTCATTCCGTGAAGTGTAAATCATGCTACTGTGGTGTGAATAATGAGCTATGTATTGTACGACCTACAACCTTTGACTTAGGTAAAAAAAAATACCAGGGATGTGGACTGTGTTGGGGGAATCATGGGATCAACAGAGGAAAGTTGGATCCCATTACGGAAGGGTGGGGCCATTGGGGTGGGTGCAAAGGGTTGGGCCGACCAGGAAGATTCCCCCTGTCCATATGACGGCTGTCATCTAGTCCTCGCGTACGATGAACTTTATTAGTCAGACACGCACACAGCACAGTTTGAGTATTTTTTTTGTCTCGCATATTCGAGTAAGGGGACATTCTGACTTAAAGAAACTGGTTGCTTAAGGCGTGAATGATGACGGTATGACCACATCACTTAGGAAAAAAATGCATAACCTTACTAAAAATAGATTATGCTATTTTAACAGCTTTAAAGAGCAGCAGTGATCAGGGGAATGTGGCAACAGCCCTGCAAGGGTTAATCTCACTCCTATGTACTGTAGCTTTCATTCATTGCGTTAGTGTGATGAAATCATAAATGACCAGGTGGTGAAGTATAACGTCTCATGATTGTAGTTTAGCAGGATGGGGCAATGTTGGTAGCAGCACATTCCACATCATTTCAAAGATCTTGGCGATACTGACCCATTATCTCTTTGATGACCATTATGAACCCAGTGAGAGAGACACACGCAACCCCAGGGTTCAAACTCCGGATCTCAGCAGTGTCCGTTTATTGTCTCCGATATGGCCACAATGAGCCACCTGAGAAAGGGACACTCAAACCCAGGCATTTATCCCAGGCTGTGGGTTCACGTTAAGGCTTATGCAGTAGTGCAACAGTAACCATCACTGGAGCACTGATGGAGCATCTTGCCATGACTTAACATTTTTTTTATTTACAAAGCTTTAAATTTGTGTGGGGCACACAGTCTATGTGAATCCACAAAGAAATAGCCATTGTGTACTGGACTGTCTTCCTTTAGTTAATTATTTCCTCCTCTCTCCACCAGCCCGCACATCGCCTCACCACAGAGCCCTCACAAAAGCCCTACCCGCACCGTCATGCCTGCACACAGTGCGACTTCACCGCTCCCTTCAAATCCCAACTCCGGCGTCACCAGCTGAGGCAGCACCGTCTGGCGGAGCCGCCGCCGCCACCACCGCCGCCACCGCCACCGGCTCCCATCCCTCGTGCAACTCCACCGCGGACTCTGATGCGCGGCCCGGACGGCCGATTCGCTCCATCATCTTCCCCTCGCCAAAATCCACGATTGAGCTGGGCTCGACATCGCCACAGCAACCGCCAACACCACCACAATCGGCACACGCGAAGCCGTTGGCCTTCTGCCAAGCACTCCTCCCGGCTCGTTTCGCAGAACCCCACGGACAGTGGTGGCGGCGGAGAAGACAAGAGTAGCAGCAGCAGTAGCAGCAGCAGCAGCAGCAGTGCTGTAGAGAGTGGTGATCGCCACACTCCAGCCACCGACCAGCCGTCCAGCTTGTGCTGTCCGCTGTGTCCCTACCGTACGTGTGGGCGGAGCGGTATGATATCTCACCTAGCGACGCATCGTGATTTGGAACGAAGACGAGAAGGCATGGTTGCTGGTGGTGGTAGTAGCAGCAGTAGTGGCAGCAGTGCTAGTGGTAGCAGTGCCAGTGGTGAGGTGGCGGCAGCAGCTGCTGTGGTGGTGGCAATGGAGGAGGAGCAGGAGACTTCGTCGGACCCGGAGGACGCTCCGCCAATTCTGTCGGCCATCGAGATGGACTCCCCACCCGTTAACCGCAGTGCCGAGGAGGCTCCGCCGTTACTGACGGCCAATGGAGGGGCTCCCATCGTGATGCCGGCAGAGGAGATGGTGGAGGTGGAGGAGTTGGAGGAAGAGCAGCAGGAGGAAGAGGCGGTGAAAGAGGAGGATGACGACGACGAGATGAACGAAGTGGAGCAAGAGGCGGAAGTGGAGCCGAAGGACAACTGGAAGTGCCTGCTGTGTGGGATGATCGCTTGGAAAATGAAAATGGAAGAACACCTTCGGGAAGAGCATAAGGTAATGTGGTGGTGAACATTGTTGGTGGTTGTGATGCTAGTGGTGGTGGTGGCTGGGGTTGCGAAATGGCAGCTATGGTGGTGTTGATTTTTTATCCTTAGAGTTGTATTACAATTGTGCTGCTCTCAGTCTTGTGTTATGAGATGAAGGTGTTTTCATCTGTAAATCTCACATTGAGGAGAGGAATGTAACATTGTCAGATGGTGATACTGGAGGATGATGCCATTAACCCCATTTTAGTAGGAGTTTCACCTCCAGTCTCATTCATTAGGTGGGGCACTTATTACGTGCGCCACTAACGTCATTCAACACGATGCTCTTCAGTGCTGACATGCTGAACTCCGTGACAAACTCGTTTAACATTGTTTTTGCGCATTCTTTGATAACCAAGATGATACCAATTAGCTGCACTTGAGAATCAGATTTAATCAACGGTGCAGGCACAGTGTTTTTGATGTGGCCATTATTAACTGTCTGAAGAGAGAGATCCAGATATTGCTTTAACCTGAAACCCAGGACCTCAGCATTTCTTATTTAGTTTCTCTAACAGCCATTATGAATCCCTTGAGCCACTCAGCCGTGTTGATACTGCCGATAATGATTATGATGATTCTGACCAATGTTTTATTTCATTTCCCCAGGTTCGTCAAAACCTCAACCTTGTAATGTGCTTGAATGATGAGCAGTCAGAAAGCAGCACTCACAGCCAATCAGAATCTAGAACTCGCAACCAATCAGAATCCATACCAATCAGCCTGTCGGAATCTAGACCCCTCATCCAATCAGAATCCAGAACTCACAGCCAATCAGAATCCCGAATACATGGCCCATCAGAATCTAGAATTCACAGCCAACCAGAAATCAGGACGCACAGCCAATCAGAATCTAGGCCCATCAGCCAATCAGAAAATCGGCCCCACAGCCAATCCGAATCCAGAACTCGCAGCCAATCAGAATCAAGAAATCACAACCAACCAGAAAGCAGGACACACAACCAATCAGAGGTCCCAAATTTTGGCCAAACAGAACGCTTCTCACACGTTCCAGAAATTGTTCAACCAGAGCCCTTTTCCCGGGGCCAATCAGACATGGTTGATTTTGAACGCATGCCCCATGGCCAGCAAGAAATTGGTTCTTTTGTCCAAGCAGAGCGTTTTACCAGGAACCAATTGCAAGGCTACAATTTCGTCCAACCTGATCGCTTTTCACACGGCCAATCAGAGCGCTTTTCTCGTGACCAAGCGGAAATTGTCCATTCAGAACGCTTCACCCATGGCCAATCAGAACGGTTTCCCCGCAGCCCACCAGAAATCATCCAATCGGATCGCTTTGGCCACAACCAATCAGATCGCTTTATTCGCGACCCATCAGATATTGTCCAACCAGAACGTTTTTCTCGCAGCCAGTCAGAAATGAACCCTTTCATTCAATCAGGTGGCAGCATCTTTCCTGGCCAATCAGAGTTGAGCTCGCGGCCTGTTGGCCCTCCTCATTCCCACGTGCCACCATTTTCCCCTTATGGAGTAGGCATGGGCAGCAAGGGCCACACAGGCCCCCACATCCCACCAGGTGCTGCCTACCATCGCATTGGAGGTGGCACTTGCGATATCAGCCAATGGGATTGCCTGGGTCCCGGCGATGGCCAGTCATTTCTGCCCTTTTACGTCCAATCAGCACAGCCACCTGGAGGTCACGTGATTCCAAGCGCTGGTGGTAATGAAGACAACGAACTCCATATTCCCAATGACTGTGTCGATCAACTGACCAAGATGTATCAAATTGACCAACCTGGGCCTCCCTTCCAGATGGCGTATGCCGACGCTGTCCAATCACAGCTCGCGATGCAGGGTGGTAGTGGGGGCGGAGGTGGAAGTGGGCAGGAGGTGATGGCATTGGCACAGTATGTGGGTGGAACTTTCCTCGGCCAGTCGGAGGCAGGTGGGTCAAGGCGAGCTGGTCAACCAGGAGGCCCAATGGGCGGTCACATGACGCAGATGTGACCAGTATTTTTGGGGGTTTTTATCGTTTTCGTCAAAATAATTGTACGATTATTCGAACAGACAGTGAAGACAAACGCAGATTTATGTGTACGGATGCGTTCAAGTCTTAGTGTAAATAGTTTTCTGAGAAATGTAATGCATTAACCTCAACAAGAGTAGTTAAATATTGATGTTATGAAAGGAAGATGCAACCAAAAAACAAATGGGTGCCATTTTATTTTGTTACCAAAGCAGCTTTATGTTTGTGTGAAAGTTTAAATCCTGTGATGTGAATTATAAAAAAAAAACTATAGATTCACCTCCAAGACTCGAATGGCCTCTTAGATTGAGCACAGAAATTATTTTTGGAATACCTCTGCTTCTGCAGACTTCCATTGGCTAGACAGGGCAGGCTTCCACCACCGTCATCATCACTGAATATTTATTACTGCAGGTCCCATGCAGTACATCTCGAGGCACCCTGTCGCAGTCATTTAACACCAACCTGCAAGTTGGCAATAGTTCCTATGTAGCTTTCACAATTAAGTAATTTTGCGAGCATTTGATGATATTTGCAAAATTTGGACCATTAGGCCAATACATCTGGCCTACCCTTTTTCAAATAATGTGACACTGTGAAATACACGTATTTATGGTTAATACACTTGCAGTATTAACTAGGGTGGCCGCTTGGTCGAACTGCAAGCCTCTGCAACAAGTGGCAACCGCAGAGCCATGTCACCAACCCAATGATCTGTGCAACCTATGACGTAGCTGTAGCTCCAACTCCCACAACGCACGGCATGTGGTCATAGAAGGCACAGTGCAGTGACTTAACTAGGATGTGCTTATAGCAGCATTCCAAACTATAAATCCTTTTAGCACATTAACTTAGGACACCCGATGTGTTCATCTACAAAATAAGTCATTTGTTTTTTGGGTTGCATCTGGCTTGAAACTTTAAAAGTGCTGACATGTTTCTCCATTGGCATTTAGTGTAAATAAAAAGAAAGATGTTCAATATCCAGCACTAATTTACTTGGGCCCGATTTTTTATTATTTCAAGTAAATTGGTTCAGCGTTAATTGAGATGGGAAACCCAGTTAATTGGACTTTTCAGGTATACCAATGTCACCGTGGCCACTAACCTTCCTGAGTATTTGAACACATAGTGTCAGGTTGTCTTTCCAATGTGTGTTATTCAATTAATAACTAACAGAGCAGTTTTATCTTTGAGACCTAATGGAATCTGCATTGGCTCTTACTGGTAAAAAAGGCATGAATAAATAATATTGGTGGGGTTCTCCTCTGATTAACGTATAGGATCTCGACCATGAGTTAAGTGATCTCCACGGATTCTCACCAGGTTATTAATCTCACTTGCCTGCAATCAGATTGAAGGACGTCCGGTCACAAGAGATCAACTCGGTGGGCTCCCACAATCCTTGTGGCCGACTGACACGGTGCGCGCCACGCATCGTGATGTAGTTTTTAAATGTACGGTAGTCACAATTTACGTCGTAAAAGTGCACCTGAGAGTCACTCTTAAAAAAAACTGAATTACCTGAAGCTTTGAACAGATGCCAGACAGCCCAGGAGACGTGAACCCAAGGCGTGTAGCTGCTTGAGAAGAGCTGTTTGCTTTTGGGTTCCATCTATAAAACAAACGGTTAGCACTAACTTGAAAAATTAACATAAAATAATCACTTGCTTTAAGTTATTTAGTTGTCTTATGTCTCTTGTTTTTACGTCTCTAACTTTTTGCAGAAGTTTAGTTCGTTAGTGAGAACATTTCCTGTATTCGATGTTGATTTTACAAAATGAGGGGATATTTCTGACCTGTGTACATTCCAGCCAGACCTTTAATTGTTGAATGTGCCGTGTGTATCTGTTTGATTTCATTAAACGGACGTTGGAATACATCACAGCAACACAAGACATTTTCAAACAGTATCCATTTTTCACACTTTACTTCAGCAGACCAGTTTTAGGATCAGTCCTGAGATTGAATAAGACCAGGTGTTAGTATCTTTCAGTATCTAAAGCCTACGGGAGGACTAATTTCAGATTAAGTCTCGACATTGAGTTGAGACTCCATGTGTTTTGTATTTGGAATCTCGAGACTTGGCTCTGAAAAGACTGGGTTTATTGTGTATTGCACAAACCTCAAAACCAAACTTAGAGCCAGAATTTGGCACCAATCAGTGAAATAACTACATTATTAGCTCAGGGGGTGCGGCATTTGGTCAGGTGGGAGCCCCAATACTGCTATAATTAAAATAAAACTTGGAATACATTTTAACTGCGTTCTAAATACGTTTTTGTTCTTTTACACTTGAAAACGTATTTCATGGCGGTTGTCAAGGGGGGCCCCAACTCGTAGTTTTGTCCACCAGGGGGGCCAAGGCAACCCCTGCCCCAACGCTCGTTACACAACTGGCGCAAATCTGTTACACCGATTGTCTTGTGAGAGTTGGCCTCAAAGGGCCACACTGTGGCTCCAGATTAAACACATTCCTGCGGAGGGAGCTGCTAGGAACGTTGGGTTGCTCGGCCAATGGCCAGGGTCAACGGCGGCATGGTGTATTCCGCAAATATGCCTGACAGGGCGGGCACAAGCCAGCGTGAGTAGGTTAAACGTTGAGTTTTATAAGGGCACCACGGGGTGACCAGCCCCTCCCCACCTAGCCCCTCCCCACCCAGCCCCACCCCACCCAGCCCCACCCAGACCCACCCTCCCCACCCAGCTTTTCCCCACCCCTCCCATTTTTGGATGCACGACGGACGGGCACAATAATCCCCTGTGGGCTAGTGTAACCAGGAGGTTCCTACCAGTATGATCTGTGTGTGAGGCTTATAGACCCGTATGTATGACGTTCGGCCAATCCAACGACTGTTTTCGAGAGATGACGTCACAAGTGATATCGAGCCCCTTGTATTCGTGACGTCATTACACGATACTGGAGCTTACTGTTCACTATTCTGAATGGTGGCACCAATGCCTCGAGGTGACATCGCTGCGATTGTTAATTTGGTGACGTCATAGGGCTCTACAAAGGAGCCAATTCGACAGGTTACTAAATGCGTGTTACACGTCGGGTGAACAATAACACGGGCTGGAGAAGAGAAGGATCGATGCGGTACAGGAGGATGTGGACTTGCCGATGACTGGTACCAGCGGTGTCAAGATCGGCCTCTGTGGTGGAGGCTCGTGAAGGACGCTGCCTCCAACAACAACGGAGGAGGGCAGAGGAGCGACGCTCACAACAATGAGCGGAGCGCCGGGTGGCTAAGGGGCCGTCCATAAATGACGTCACGCACCTAGGGAGGGGGGGGTTTGAGAAATGTGACGTCACATCAAAATGCGCAACTTTAAATAAATATAGACAACACGTTCTACTTAATTAAATAGACTTTGTATTAAATGTTTTCTCCAACAACATCAGAGCGCAGCGCCACATTAAATACGCACTGCAATGACAATAGATTAAAGCGATTTGAAGCATGTTTAATGTTTTTGGAGGGGGGGGGGGGGGCAGAGCTTTGTGAGGTCACATTTAAGGGGGGGGGGTCTGACTTTTTGTGACGATGAGGGGGGGGTCAAAAATCGCGTGACGTCATTTATGGACGGCCCCTAAAATACAGCAAGTTTGGCACAGTAGGGGGGCACAGCTGGTGCATCTGCCAGTCATCTCAAATGAAACCCATGGCACCTGGGGTCTGTTTCGTCACCTGTCGGCGAGCCTTCAAACACTTCACGTGGTCTTAAGGTGCGCCTGGCCTGGCACAGGCGCCCTGTCGTGGCGTCCGTGCTACTTAGTGGCTAATGGAGGATTTTGTCGGGCAGTAAACTGAAATTACATCACGGAGGAGCATCTGCACAATAATGAGGAGGCGTCACTTACCGTAATCAATATTTACGTTGAGATTATCCGTGACGTGACGCCACGACACATTAACATACGTGACGAATGGTTATCAATATTCATTGTGAGAATCTCCACATTCTTCATTCACAAAGTCGCATGTAACGGAAGCATGTAACGTTTCGGGAAACGGCCCTCCTTTAGAGTGGAGAAAGGGCCGTAAAATTGACTACGGTTAGAGAGATCTCACTTTTACACTGTGGGCCTTGGACAAAACTTTGGTAGCTTTATGAAAGTTGCCAAATTTACGACTTGTGTTTTTATTAGAATACTATCAGGGCATAATTTATGCTGCCTAAGACTTAGCTGAGGAAAAGGTGCCATTAGAAATTAATCAATGAGTTATTCTAATAGTATTTCACGAACAGCCAATTGCTGAGTCGCCTAATCTAAGTAGTGAATGTTGCAACTATTCTATTGGTAGACATCAAATATCAAACGACTCTTGGAAAGTCAAAGATAACGTCGTATAATATGCCTTGGGCATGAATTCATGTGAATTTAGAACTTGCATAGTGGGAAAACAAGCTACAGCTAAGCATGAAACGTTGGCCCAACATTTGGCCAACGGTTCCGACCACATGCCAATGTTGTGGTATCGTGAGATTTGAGAAACTCTGGGAGGCCATCCTCCAGCAGTGGACAGATCGTGGCTATAGGTGATGAATAAAAGAGGGCTTTCGGGAGGCCGCGTAGCTAAGGAGGGATGTCGCTGACCGGTGGTCGAGACGAACGGACGGAATGGAAGCCAAAGGCCGAACAAACGCGTCCAAAAGAGGGCCTCGAACGTGGAGATGAATTAACAATGGGGTAATCTGGCGTGCCGGTGCCAGATGTACTCTGGTATCGTGAGACCGTGGGAGAATAAGGCGACGACTTCGGGGGCGGGGGGGCGGGGGGGGAGGCCTTCATCCAGCAGTGGAATAAAACCGTGGCTGACGAAGCTTGGCTTGGCTTGCAGTGAGCGTTTGGACGCTAGGGGGAGACGCTGGACGCTGCTTACATTGCGATGAAACCCGCCTGCAATGCAGTCACGATTCAGGGCGCTCGATTCAAGATTCGGTTGTTAAATTTTTTTAATGTTGTTTTATGTGTTAAAGGGGGAATTTGCAGTGGGGATGTTTTTTCGGCCTCTCGTGGCTGAAGACAGCTCCCCGGTGTAGCCTGAACAGACTGTTGGGTACAAGCGCTGTTAGCGAGCAGCACCTATATAAAGGCCGGCACTGTGGCACACGAGGGGGGTGGGTGGCCAGCACCACGCCCGGCCGCCTTTGTCTCCCCAGTGGCGATGTGTAACACGTCGTACCAGGTACTCACTTGAGGCTGAGTCGACCTAGCTGGAGGTCCAGGACCGGTTCAGGTAATCGTCACCGGTGGTGTTGGTGGCCGTGAGCGGGAATCGAACTCGGGCCGCCGGGTTCGTAGCGCAGCGTAGCGCCAACCTCTACACCACCAATACCAAGAGCCGCCATTCGCCACTGAGTGACTGTGACGTCACCACGGTGCCTGTGCCAGGACAGGTGCACTTTGAGGCTACCACGTGAAGTGTCGAAAGCTCGCTGCTGGCAGGGGGTCTCGGGACAGACCCAGCAGGTGCCATGGATTGGCTGACTGAGATGACTGGTGGTAGATCCACCATCAGCTGTGCCCCCTACTGTGCCAGGCTAGGTGCAGGAGGTCACGGGACAGACCCAGCAGGTGCCATGGATTGGCTGACTGAGATGACTGGTGGTAGATCCACCATCAGCTGTGCCCCCTACTGTGCCAGGCTAGGTGCAGGAGGTCACGGGATAGACCCAGCAGGTGCCATGGATTGGCTGACTGAGATGACTGGTGGTAGATCCACCATCAGCTGTGCCTCCTACTGTGCCAGGCTAGGTGCAGGAGGTCACGGGACAGACCCAGCAGGTGCCATGGATTGGCTGACTGAGATGACTGGTGGTAGATGCAACACCAGCTGTAACCCCCCCTGTGCCAGGCTAGGTGCAGGAGGTCTCGGGACAGACCCAGCAGGTGCCATGGGTTGGCTGACTGAGATGACTGGTGGTAGATGCACCACCAGCTGTACCTCCCTACTGTGCCAGGCTAGGTGCAGGAGGTCTCGGGAGAGACCCAGCCCGGTGCCATGGGTTGGCTGACATGACTGGTAGATGCACCATCAGCTGTAACCCCCCCTGTGCCAGGCTAGGTGCAGGAGGTCTCGGGAGAGACCCAGCCCGGTGCCATGGGTTGGCTGACATGACTGGTGGTAGATGCACCATCAGCTGTGCCCGCTACTGTGCCAGGCTAGGTGCAGGAGGTCTCGGGAGAGACCCACACTTCTGCTCCCTTCATCAGTGACTGATTGAGCACACACCCAAACCACGTGCCACTGCAATGTGAATACTGTAAATGAATCGGCGGAAATAAACCGGACCATGTCAGGTACCGCGTGCGGGTGTTATAATTCACACGAATTCGATCATTTAAAAGTTACGTGTGTGTATTTGTTGTATTTATTGACCAAGCGATGCGTGTAATATTACTAGCAGTACTTGACATTTCAAATTGTAATTTCGTGTTTTGTGAACAAGGTAACATTGTTAATTTTTAACTAAATGTTAATCGTGTTTTAAACTCTTAAAATGACTCGGGACTTGCCAAAGCTTTATATCTGGGATACAAAACCCACTCTTTACACAAAGATTAGTGAATTTAACTTGGGATAGTGAATTGATCGGTGCGTGTGTGAACCGATTAACTTGTGATTTGTACAAACGATTGACAATAAATAAGCATCCCATCGACCATCAGTTAGTGCCTTGTCATAATAAAGTAGTTTTATTGAGGGGGGGGGGGGTTTAGTTCACGTAAATTTAAATGTGTCGTTAACTCACCACCACCCGACACAGCCAATTAGTAAGTTGTGTCACCTAAACAACACGTTCCAATTAGTTACTAGTAAAGCACACCGGGGTGTGTTGTGAGAGTAAACCCAAAGACATTTAAAATGTGATTACGACGTT